TGGGGGGCAAACAAGGGCTTAATGAATTATATGGTCCTTCAATCATAATTTGATCTTCAACAATCGGCAATCAAATCGGGGTAGGGAGGGTGGTGGTGATGGCGATGGTGGTGAGACAATGTTCTAGCCGAGTCATTGTGGTGGAAGCGGTCATGGTGGTCAACAATGATGGGTGTTGATGGTAGCAGCAACAGAAACATAACACAATATGTTGTTATCGTGTAATAAAAATGTAGATAACATCTTTGTCATATATACCACCGCATTTTAATTGTACTCATAGTCATCTAGACTTGCTCATTGTAATACTTATGTGTTTAAATTTTTCATCAAATTGTTAGCTTAAACATTCCATTAATTAGCATACATCTCTCTAATGACAATTCGCATCCAAAAAAATTGATGAGATGGCGTAAAAAGATTTATTTGTCCATTATATTAAAAAAGTAAATACATAAGTGCCACAAAATATTATTCCCTTATCTGGAAGAATGAAAATTAAATATTTTGACAGAAAAACCATGATAAACAGTGAGATATGATCATTTAAAGATAAAATTTTAACATAAAAAGTTAGAGATATAAATGCTGTAATAAGTAAAGTTTGAAGACTTTAAGAGCAATTAAAGTATTGTGGAACAAGTAAAACTCGATGGGCCAATATAACTATATTTTTTAGTGTAATTTTTGTTAAATTTCGAAATATTATGGACCTTGAAGTTTCAATTGTTTGAGGTCAATTTGTAGCGCAAATAATAAGAGCGAAGTTTTATCAAATTATTGACCTTAGATTCGAACCACTCGAAAGGTGAAATTCAGAAAAATAGTTTCTGTCGTAGTCAAGTGTACTTTCCTATTTAACAAAAGATTCAGACGAACGACTTGTCAATTTGAAAGAGTGATAACCAACTTGCTCCATTTTATAATTGAGAATCAACTTTTAACTCAGTCAATAGATTGGGAACAAAAAATGCAATTTTTATCTGAATATTCTAAATTAAAAAAAAAAAAAAA